AGAAACCACAGTATAAGAAATGCATTAATCAAGGAGAAACGATAATTGCCTTGTTTATCTTGTATTTTAAGCAGAGAAGAAATATGAGATGCTGCCATATCTGTCACTAAAAAAACCCAAACCAGAGAAATTGAGGTCCAGCTATGGAGTTTACTATATTGCAAAACAAGTTAAAGGTGTGCAAGTGGGAATTCTGTCAGAGAAGACAAGACAAAATGATACAATTATTCCAACTCAGAGCTGATATGCTCCGAGGTATATGTTTTTCCACAATCACTATAAATATGAATATTTTAGAGGTTAATATGAAGATCAAATGTGGAATGCATTTGCTGAAAAGATTAATATCTTTTCATTAAAAATGAGAGTGCCCTGTTGGTTCAGCATTTGCATTTAGATCGAGTAAGTAATAAGTATATTGACCGCTTAAGACACATATCTCCAAAATGGAAAATACGGATATAGAGTAGTGTCCATGTGCAGAAGTGAACAAGCTTCTTTTATTTCTTACCACTACTCCTTCAGAGAACTTAAGCCCTATCAACAAGAACACAGTGATTTACTTATCGCAACAGAACTGGTTGCATACTGTAAAGAACATTTAGGCAAGCATTCATTCCTTCACGCGAGCAGCGTATTGGTGAAAGTGTATCGTTGGGCTGCTGTTGACTTGAAAAATTGCTAGCCACGGTACAGTCATTCATCATCCTATGGACAGGAATGTGTATCTGCTAGCTGTTTTACGCTACTTTTTGTTGCGGTTTAAGCTTATAGCCATCCAGTTAAGCAGGAGGCACAGCCAACTATTAAGTTATTACACACAGTCCACATAACCATGAGCAGGGTGGGCTAATGTAACTGCAGGTTTCTCATAATTTATGTCATAAGGCTTTGAGCTCCATGTTTCCAAGTAATAAAGAGAGGAAAAGGTATATATGATTCAAATAACGGTCAACTGGTGCACCGAGATTGCTTCATAGGGTTACAGAACATAGCACTTGCCCACTGAAACAGCGGCGCGGTTCTCGCAGGCACACTTAGCATCAGTCTCACCAAAGAACGTACATCCCATTTACCTGAATCTAGGCCAGGGTTTCTCAGAATACTTGAAGTGGTTCTCTTGAGGTGTTTAAAAACATACAGTTCAGCATGTAGTAAATATCTCAAACTATTTGTTAACTTTAATCCAAATTAAACACAGCAGTTCCTACCAAAAGCAAAAGCATATTACTCCTCAAACTGTGAGAAGTAAAGTAACTATTTCACTTAAGCAACTGTGGTGACAGCTTTCTTCTAGCACTTTAGTCATACAAAATTTATACAAATCATACACCTACTTTCCTGCAGAGCAGAGCAGTCTGTAACACTGGCAAAACAGCACTGTATGTAAGCAGAAAAACTGATTACTGATCCGTAAACGAAATTTAAGAGTTGATTCTACAACAGTACAAACATTTTCTCCTCCTGTGCACATGAGGAACATTATTTTTCTTTCAATGCAGGCAAGTGTGACTTTGGAGAGGACTGTCCATCCCCGATATACAAAATTCGGGACATTTCCTTGAGATTTCTTTCCTTTTTATTTCTTCTTCCCTTTCTTTTTTTTTTTTTTTTCGTTTTTTCCCTCCCTCCTGTTGTTCTCTATTCCAGGTCATTTAGACCATACACTTTGATGGAGGGCATCCTTCTCCTCTGAATTTATGAATCAAAATGTATTCTCCAATGGATATCTGGAGATATAATTTGCCCCCTAACACTCTTCAATCTTTATTGCTGACACATTCAAGGATGCCTAACTCCCACAAGAAAAAAAACCTATATTAATCTTCAAAAAGACGTCCTTACCTGCCTTCTGAAAATGAAAATGGATGATTCTTTGAGAAATTATCTGAGTTTTGCTGCAGACTCTGAGGATCATGCACTTTTGGAAACGATTTCAAATCTGAAAAATTTATAACTAAAAATATTCTGGTATAGAAATAAAAATCCTGCATGGTGCTAAGTCTTTCCTTGGAGGCATGAAGCGTTCAGCTTCCCTCAGCAGATGTCAATAATAATCAAAAGCACTCAGCATCTTGCTGGCTGTAAACTCTGGGATTCCTACATACGCTTTTTCTGCATACTGGAGAGAATGACTTTTTTATGTAATGCTTTTGTAGGTGATACTATACCATGGAAATAGCTCCAAAGCACATGATGTCATTCATCTGTGCTAAATCAACCCCCCATTCAATTACTACCATAGAAAAAAATAAAACAGCTACATTGTGGATCTGAAAGGCAGCTCCTAAGATGACCTAAGACCTAAGATGACCCTTCTGTTTCTAGGTAGTGCAAGAAAGAAAACAAGCCTAAAACCAGAGGTACATATTTCACCTTACATACTCCTTCTGCTGTATTATGCACAGAAGAGCTTTGGAATAGCCTTTGAAGGAGAGGTCACTTAACACACCAGGAACCATTCCCATCTCCATACCCTCCGTTTAGCAAGACACCTACTAAATGCCAGTCACAGAAAAAGAAATTTGAAGGTTTACAAGAATTAAATGAAAATGTCTTCATTTTGACCAGATCCTGCGTAGCTAAGAGAATTAGAAGATGCACGGTTGAGGTCCAGCAGAAACAAGTTAAATCTTTCTGGTTTCCATTCTTTTGAATTTTTTTCTATTTTAAAAAGACATTTTAGAAAAGTTGCTATGGTATAGCCTCATAAATTCTTGTTTAAGTGCAAAGAATCAAAAAAAAGCTATTTAACCTAAAGTGTCTGCTTAGAATTTACTTCTGTTTCTTCTGAGGTACAAAGACAAAATAAAAATATACTTATATAGTAAATACATAAGTAAATAATAGAAAACATCCAAGAAAACTCAAAACAATTTATATTCCACTAATTTGTCTTAAATGAAATGGCAAGTTTCTTAAAAGCATCAAGATCCAAGCAATGGTAAAACTTACTAAAAGAGATGGAAAATATGAGTAACTTTAATCAGTGTTTTAACATGCTTTTTAAGAGTTCACATCAACCTTTGGTGCACATACATATGAATAATGAGAAACAGTTTTCTTCCTTCACTGTATCCATCTCAGAGAAAATTTTACTCTAATTCAGCTTCTTAATTAGTTTCTAGGGCTAATACAGTTTCAAACAGCACACCTACAAGGAATAATCCACTTTTGACTGGTACTCACTTTAAGAATCAAACAGAAAATAAACAGAGCTAACAAAAGCCAGAAAAATAATGGGCAAATGACCCAATTTCAAGTTTAATTAAAATCTAGGAGAAGCTGCTGTTTGAATTGGCAGTTATGGATAAACAGATTCACCAAAACAAGATTTTTTTTTAGTTTCTGGAGCTGTGGAATTCACCAGCAGAAATGAACCTTTCCTCCCGTCACATAAATACCACGTGCTACCTGCAAATACCGCTCACTCAAGCCTCAGTCAAAAAGGATCAGCTGAGTTGTTCAACATCCATTCTCTTCTCCAAGCAATGGAAAACTGGCAAACCTCACGGATCCCTGTGTATGTCTACTGTAATACATCTCCACTGAGATGCCAGCAAAAGAAGGCTAAGAACAGAGGAGGTAAAAGCATTCCTCTCTGCTGGTCACATGCACTGTGTCACACAGTCTTTGTCCAGCCACCATTCAAAGCCTGAGAATATGATCATTAGGCTGCTTGTCCTTAAAAGTTGCTGTTACTGCTAAAAATATGTTATACATCTTTGACCATAAATGACTAACTCCATCGAATTAAAAAAGGAGGCACGTCTGCCAGTTTCTACTTGACATACATAAGGATGTTACCCACAAGGGTAACAGAGAGCAAAGCATAGAGCATCTTAAGAAGTGGAAAACAATACTTTTTCCCAAATCTCTCAGCTGAAAACTGGAATTTAACTGCAGATAATGCATGTTTTTAGGGTTAACATTTTGCACAGCTCTAAATTTTTGGCTCATAAAGCATACAGCATTTGCAGCAACAACAAAAAATATTTTGCTGTTTCAACAAGACTGCAGCTTGCCATGTCACCTTCAGAGAAAAGGTATTGAATCAACTATTATTAAAAATCATGAGAAATTCAAAACTTGCTTTCAGGATATACTACCCAGCCATATTACCCGTTCAATTGAGGCCAGACTTCTTGTACAGAGACAGCATCACTATTTCATGAATCACCAGTGACCTTTGGAAGATACTAGGAAAAGCAAGCATGTTCATTCCCCTCCATTGATTTTCTAATCTTGAGTAAATTGGTATAATCTGGGGAATGGTGGCCTATTAGGAATAAAAATACCTAAAATGATTTTAGAAAATAGTATAAAGCTTGTGAATAGAAACAATGAATTTAGAAGGGAAACTTGAGGTAAAAAGGTAGTGATTATATAAATCTTAATGGGCATGATTCTGTGGCAGAAGAACTGGAATCTTTCTAAACCTTAGTATCAATTTATGCTCTTATAGTGTTAATGATCTATAATAAACATATTTTGGCAATATGGTAATTCACTTTAAAATGGCATGCACACTACCTATCCCCTTAATATTCTATGTTTGTATTTAATTTTTTGCCTGTGGGGTACCAAGTTAATGAGTCTATTAAGTCCATTCAATAAAAGGAAATTTCTAGAAAAGGATTTAAAGCACCAAACTGTAACAATCTCATAGCAAGCTATATGCAAAATTTGGGGTTTTTTTACTTCCAAATCACTGATTGGTAACTCTAAGTTGAATTCTACTTACTCTTGAGATCTTTGATCCCACTCTATTTGACACTAATTGTCTTGCCCAGAAATTATGAACTACCAGAAATACAAATATTGATCACAACATAAAACTTATGTCCAAATCAAAAATAAACAAAACTCTCAAAAGGCTTGAAGTTGAACATTTGAGTCCTCACCCCTGCAATACTCTGAATCTTTTTTCACAGCACAGAAGCAGATTATTGGCACAAACACTAAAATTCCAGACTGCCAATAGGAAAATGTTCACTTACTTCACGATCCAACAGTACAGGCGACACCACTGTAACAATATCTCCTTTTTCTGGGTCAATATAGAACATGTTTGGAGATGGTTTGGTAGGTGTTTGTTTGAGAATGTTATACCGCAGAAGAGCGTTGTCTGTGCTAGAATCATCAGCATCAAACGCTGTCATACGCATCACAGTTGTTCCTAAGGGAAAGGTGGACAGACAATAGAATGCCGTTAGCCCGAATGTGTAACATGACACTGCTTTCGCATGTGAGCTCCAAGTGAGAATAATGCACAATTATCTCATCAAGACCACTAAGTACCTTCACCTGATATTTAGTCTGCACTTGTATTATTTCTACTTGCTACTGAGCCTACAGAAGACTTGTGTTTCTGGTTTGCAGCAGACATATGGCTCTAACATAAGTTCCCCATATTTGAATGCTTTGTTGCAATCCATCTTAATTACATTTCACTAAATGAACTACAGATGTATCTTTTTCACTTTAAATTCTACAGGTAGAAAGTGTACAGGATGTTTATGGTGAAAATGACAATGCTGAAATAATTCCACTTCAAGTCTTGCACAGTTTCAGAATAGGTTGGACATTATAATTTGTGCCAGTAAGGAATTTTGTAATCATAGAATGAAATGATTAAAGCCTTCATTATTCTAATTTCAAGTTGTAAAATCTTATGGGCTTATTCTATCAGCTTCAAGAAAAAAACCCCACACCTCTTGCCAAGCTATTCTTCAAGTGATGAAGGCTTCTTTTAATGTGAAATTCCTATAGCATACAGTTCTGCTATAGAGTGCAATAAGGTAAATGCTCTTGACTGCACAGATTCCTAAATGATGTACAGAGGAAAAATATCATTCCTCTTCTACATCACAGTTAATACAGGGAGGACTGCCAGGTCTCTGCTTCACCAGTGGAACACATTCCTGCATTACAGGATCAAGTCTTTTCCTTTCCCTTAGGCACACTAGAGGCTTACATAGACTACATTATTCTGCCACAGCAAACTTTTATTTGCTTTGAGATATGAGACATTCACATCTAGACCATAATGCTTTCTTAGTCAGTTTATTAATAGATATAAATATAAGCATTACTTTTAAAAAATTAACTAAAACTAATATATCATCACACCAAAACTAAAATATTTCTGGTAATATTGACTTGAACAAAGAACGAAATCCTACCAAATAATGAAAAAGTCATGATCAAATTAACAAATTAGTTCCTATGATGGGTCAACATTAAGTAACAAATTAATGCAAAATGTGTTAGCAAACTTCACAAAAATAAGAAATCTAGGAAGGTATCCATTCTTAACAATCTCAATTGAAAGAATTTCTCAAATTCCATCAGTTCTCTAATTAATATTTAATTAGCTAGTGTGTGAACAATGTTGAGGTTACTCATAATTCTGTGTTACAGATTCATTTTTATGTGATGGCTAAACCTTTCTTTTCCCCCACAGATTTTTATTGAACAAGTATTCTTTCAAAATATGATGATGAAAAATATTTCAGGTACACCAGTTTAATTTCACAACAGATCCATAAGACCATACGATCTGTTCTCAGTATCCTCATTGCCTTTTGTGGCAAAATAATCACAAGTTATTAAAACCTGGTACAGACAAGGCCTAAGACATTAAATTGGAAGTGCCTGCAGAACAGAAATATATATCATTGATGTGCAATGACAAACAGTGAGTTTATAGTCTTTGTGAAGGTCTTGAAGCACAGATCACTTAAATAAAAAGAAAATAGCGTGGCAAAAGTAAAACCAAACCCAGCTTCATTTATAGGCTGATACAGCAACTGCCTGGTTCACTGTTAAACACAACTGGCTTGTTTAGATGTTTCCCCTTTTTTTCTTTTGCTGTACTTCCCCGAGTACAAAGTATTGCCTCCTGTTGTAGTGACCTTGAATATAAGCTCTCAAAGGTTTTGCTTCATTGCTACTTCGGGCAGACTTACCCCCTTGAGAAAAATAACAGAGATCTGACAGCATGTTGGTTTGATTCACCAGTGATTAAAGGTCAGACGGCTCAAAAAGCAGCTTACCACGAGATACCATGCCATGTTTTCCAATATTACAAGATGATCCTAGCCCTGATGTTTTCACCTACTTTTTTTGAGACTTTTCCGGAAGACAAAAAATAAAAAGGAGCAGTTACCTCTTTTGAAAAATGAAGATTCACCCTCTTTTCACAAGTACAACACACTGTGCTATGTTTTTTTATTTTGAGAAGATTGTTTATATTCATATTAGATAACATGTTTCATGAAGAACTCACATGACTACAGTGAAAGAAACAAGAATTAAGGCAAATTTTCAAGTGATCTTAAAGAGGGCCCAAAGTACAAGTTAAATCCAATGGGTTTTGGTATGCAACTCTTTCCTGAAAAATAGCATTTTATAAGATACTATATTTTAGTACATTAATAATATATATTTTAAGTAAATATACAGTTACTAGCATTATTAATATATTAGACATGCTGATGCTCAAGCAGAAATTTAGAAACTCATTAAAATTTATACTCAGGTAGAAATCCTATTTCTTCAGCTGTCCTTGACAATTCTACTGAAATGTTTCTAATTATAAGAATGTGGAAGGCTTGTGCAGATTTTAAGATCTGATGTAAACCCCCAACTCTCTAGTTACTCTGGGAAAAAACTTAATACGATGGTTGAATCTGATTCTGATTTGCCAGCTGCAGTTCTTTAACCTTTCAACTCACTGGACATTATCTTGCTTTGTGCAATCATTCCTCTGGTACATACATATAAGAAATACCAGCAGCTCAGAAGAGCAGAATTTTGCATTCATTTTGCATAGAGATGCTAGCTCCAGTAGGAGAGTTGTAAAGAATTAGATCTATTTGTTTCTGTGTTGCTTCTGTCAGAAGTTTGGAGGTATTGGTTTCTAGCTGCCACCACAGTGGCATTTACATTTAAATAAAAGTTATTCTACTCTCACAAGTTCATGTAACAGAGAGAAAAATGCACATAAAATTTGGAGTTGTCTTTAGATGTCATTATGCATTAGAACAGTCTATTTATGCATTAGAACAGTTTATATAAGGTTATACCTGTTTTTTCTTCACGAATATCAATAAGGAAAATAAACCCCTATATCACCTATATACTCATATCAGTACAACAACCAGAGGCACTGCTGAATAATGTGCCTGAAAATAAAAATTAAGCCCTTGAACTAAGTTGAAAGTTGGTGCTAGGCTTCTGCAGCCATACTGAGAATAGCTCGTCAATCAAAAATGTATGTGCTCACAAGCAGGTTTGCAAACTAAATGGTTCAATACTGTCCATGCACTGTTCCATGCTGTCCATGTCCAAAGCACAGCGGAACTCACTCTTATTCTATTCCATTAAAACACCACACACATGCAAAAAAGCTAGAACAGGCTAGTATTTGTGGCTGATGCCTGAAAAATTACAAGAGCTTTAAATCAGCAGCCAAAATATATTCCAGGGACTTTTGGAGAAGTCTGAAAGCTATATGGCCAGAGAAGAACTTTCCTATCCTAACTGAGGTGTTCACAGAGAGAACACGTGTGACCATGCATTTCGGATTGGACCACCACAAAACATGATGTTTATAAAGATATCTTTCCTAAAAATACAGTGGCAGAAATTTTTATTTTAAAAGGCTCCACAGCATACATCTGGTCCAAAAGAGTCTAATTCAAGATGCGCACTTCCTCGGTATTACTCCCTCATCATAAAGTTTTATTCTCCCTAAAAGATTCATTTTCCCAGACCCATAAACTGACTACTTCTAATTCAGTGTCATTTTATAAATACTTCCATTCCCAGCATCAATCAAATGCAGCTGGCTTTCAAACAGCAAAACAACAGCTTGCTGCATTATCATGTTAAACAATATATATTAACTTATCAAGCTGACGAAGAAACGTCTGCAAAATCAGCAGCTTTATATTTCTGCCGATGATGTGCAGTTATGCATTGAGGAAGTCTCAGTAAAGGTATAGTTATGCCTTGGCATATTTCAATACTCATGGTTTATTTGTAACACCTTCTGGGCAGTTTCACTATTACCATAATCACCCAAAACCTATACTTGCACCTCCCAGAGTTCCTTGTTGATCAGACCCAGATCCCACTAGCCAAGGCATTGCTCCAGAGGCTGCAGCTCTCAATCTCTTGAGTGCTCATTTGGCCTGTAAGTTGGCTTGGCAATACTGGCAAAAAACTCCCCTTAGGCATTAAGAAGCGGAACACAACACTTGCACAGTTTGTGGTGATTGGAGTAAATGGTTTCTTGGGAAAAAGCTCTTTGGCATTTTGTTATTTACATTTTAATGACCTTTCTACTTCCATCTTTGTGTGTGTGCGTGTATGACTTTTTTCTGTCAAGATGCCAAGATAACATTAGGAATAGTTGAGTTGACGGATGAGATTACTACTACCCTTCTATCCCTTTATTTATTTATTTATTATATTCAGCTTCTGTGTTCACAAAAAAGACTGGAATGTAGTGGAAGTGAGGCTTATTGCTAACATGATGAAATGAGAACAAGTGTCTGAAGCCTATAGCCTTAAAAGAAGGCTCTGAATTTGAATACTAACATTAAAATATTATCCAGTTTAGGGGCTGAACAGTTTTAACTTTCTGAGAGATACAGTGCTCAAAATACTTCACGTCATTTTCAGCCTTTCTGTGAGTCTCTGCTGTGCATTCAGTACGTTAAATGTTTTCTACATGTGCTACAGAAAGGTAGGGTCCATTTTCCTAATTAACCTGAATGGGTTGCCAAGTTTCATTTCCACCTTCTTCAGAAGCTTAGATGTTCCTCTGTACACTGATAATAATCAGTTGCACAACGGTATACTTTCAAGAAGTAAAGCTATTTTAACCCAAGGAGAAGAATAAAGACTGAAAAATGGGATGAAAAAGGAAGAAATCACAAGGGTTACCTGTATCTCTAGAGCACATTACATTTATTGCTACAGAAAAACAGATACCAACTTTCAGAAAACAGAGCAAAGGAGGATACCCTCCTGACTACTATACTCATCATAACTAATTACAAATTTGAATGTCATTTTGTACTTTAAAGACAACAAGCCCCAGGGAAGCAAAACAAATAGAAGAAGAAAGGTCTATTATAGTTCCAATCAAGTGCATTTGAATTGCAA